TGTGAGGTTTGTAATATTCCTGAAAATGTCGAGCATGTCATCATGAAGTGTAGTAAATATGATTCTGAGAGGAACATCTTACGTGACAAGATATATGAATTAGGACGGGGATGGAATTTACAAGGGATTTTAGGGATGAGTGAGGAAACAAGGGAGTGCTGCAAAGCTCTCTTTAATATTCTCAAATCTACTGGATTAGACCATAACATATAGTCATTTTGTTTGTTTGTTTTTGATAGCTTGTTATGTTTTGTTGAGTTTTCTATTTATTTATTTACCTTTTGGTTACACTGAACCTGTAACCTGAAGTACAGTAGGTGGCGGTATGTACCTGAACAAGTTGGTTGCGACCCACCATAAAACCCTGAGAAGAAGAACGCATAATTTATCTTTTAGCCAGCGGTCCTTTGCAAAAAGAAACAGTGAAAGTATTAGAGGGACTGGGCTTCTGTCATCCATGATAGAAACGGTAGAAATCCTCTGAAATTAGGCGATTATCAGAGCTGGCGATCTGTGTTATTAAAACGTATGAAACACGGAAAACACGTGGTTGTATTTTGTCTTTTTGCTAACGTTAGCTAGTTATTTAAGTTTATACTATACCGCCTCCATCAAACGTGAACGCTTGCACCAATCGCACATAACGTTAGCTACAGTGGGCTGTTTTCTATTTTATACTCTTTTAGCAAAGGGCCCCTTGTTCCAGCAGGATTGTCTCTGTAAAACAGTTTGCAGTCACATCTGAGCGGTGAACCACGAATACAGCAGTTATCCATCTGAAACAGTATAGTTGGATTTATTTAGTATTAGTGGTTTCAACTCAGGCTTGGCTTCATCTTCAACTTTCCATGTGATAAATTACTCTTAACAATAATAAAGAAAATTGAGCCTTTTCGAACAAAACAGTAAGCCATTGTTTGTTTTAAATGGGATATCATCTCTATAAGTATTAATGATAAATCTGTTTTTTAGTTACACAATGTTAAATTAGACCGATAAATCGGCCGATAACTGGCATTTTGAGATAATCATCATCTGTCATATCTGCACTAATAAGGCCCATAAACAAAAAAATGTCTGAGAACACATCTGCAGGCAGCCTCCTCAGTGTGGCTGCTGTGGAACGATGTTAGCGCTCCACTTGTGAGTTTTGGTAAGTAGTGAAAAAGTTAGTTTCCAGCCTTTAATTTCCTCATTCACCATCGTCTTTTCTAAATGTTATCACGTTTCTCCTAAATGACAAAAGATCAAATCTAAATACATTACTGGCTATACTTAAATATGTATTGTTGCTGTAGGGAATAATGCAGTATAATGACTTTGCTTCTGACAAACTATTGGCCCGCTCTCCCTTAAACACCACTCGTATTTTGAAATCAACATCATAACCCAATGTATTTTTCTATTTCATTAGTTAATTTTTTCGGTCAAACACTAATGTAAGCTAAACAAGGCATAAATTCTAGTCTTAAAGTATCCCTGTGTTGATATATCAATCTATCTGAGGTTTTCCCAGGTTGACGTCAAACACCTGCCGACACTATATTTAATTGTGACTGTAAAAAATCGTTTTGACTTTTTTTTTTTAAAGAGTTCCTTGATCAAACGTGTCTTCTCTTCACTAAACCATGGCAGCTGTTAAGGTAAGAGGAACATAATCCAGTGTAGAAGTGGCACGTATTCAATGTATTTGTATATTTCACTGGTACTCATTTTCTTTTTCAGGCTCTGTCAGGTTGAACGTAGTGGAAGATATGGTTCAGATGGGAGGAGAGGTGATCCAGAATAGCATGAAAGACAAGGTGGGGACGTGAAGCGGGATTATGATCGACAATGGGGTGATGATAGACACAGAGACCAGAGACAGTCCAGAGGTGAGTGAATAAAATATCTTTTGTAAGCTCATGTTGCCTTCCCGCATGTAGCAGAAAAATACAGCTTGGTTCTAAATGTAAAAATAACAGCATTATTTTGTTGTTTGTCTGCAACAGAGGGGCAGAAAAGGCAAAATAGTGATAGATTGGATGATGAAAACAGTGGGGATTATCCACAGCAGCACTGCAAAATGGAGCAGAATTAAGCGAACATGACTCTTATCCTGAGGGGTCTTCAAGTCATAGAGGATGATGTAAGCTCAGAGAGTCTCACTGATACTTCTTAAAGGTAAAGCCAGACCAAGCGTTGCAAGATGGCAAGGTAGAGCTGCTGCCTTGGGTATTACAGATGGGCAGGGGCAAGCAGTTAGTTCTTAAGCCAAAGTATTCAAGTATGTAAACGGACCTGGAATAAGTTGTACCTGAGATCCTTTGTGATTTTAAATAATTTAAATAAGTGTAAAATGTAAAAATCGGAGGCAGTTTCTGCACTGATCTGTTTCATTTGTTGACCTAAACTGTACAAACACTTGGTCAGGCATGACTGTTTATCCACCGTCAGCTGAAAGTGAGAGGTTTTGGCCACATTCGGCCTGGCTTTACCATAAATTCTGAGTATCTATTCAGGCAATTTGTGTAGTTGAGTAATTTGTGAGAGTGTTGATGGCAACTGATGCAGAAATGGCATTAATTTTGACAGTGTTAGCTTAATGTTTTTGAAACCGATAATAACTGCATACTGGTGTAAAAATTCAGATGAGATTGACTGTCTGCCTCCATTGTCCAGATCCGCTCAGCGCTCGAGCAGCTCGAGAAGTGGAGGTAAGTGTCACTGTTCAGAGGATTTCTCACATTCACCTCCATGCTCTATCTTAGGGCCCACTTTACCTCCTTTATCACAATACTTGAAATAAAAATCTTCATATTATAACTGTCAGAGGATCCTAAGTTTCACAGTCTGATTTTTATGATGTGGCAAGGAGGTAATTGTATATTCTATACCTCTACCATTTTTGTACAGACATTACATGAATGTTGCACCCAAAGTATTCTAACTAACACGCCTCCCATATATCTGAATACTGTTTCTCTGTATAAGCCGAGGTTTCGCCTTCATGGAGTTTTATTGTTTGCAAGATTCTGTCCGATGGATGGAGACCAATCGGGTTGCCTCAACAATCACCACGTTTAAAAATTTCCTTTGAGATTAGAGCCCCAATTAACCAACACTGAGATATATAGATATATCTATATATATATAGATATATCTATATATATATCTATATATGTGATCATTGAGAGTTGTGCAGACAAGTGGTGTGCCTGTTCAAAACGTTTTCTTTCCTGTTTTCTCAATATCATTAACTTGCAGAACCAGAAAGCCATTGAAATCTAACTCTTTAGAAGTTTTTTATCCAGAGGTAGCAATGAATAAATGAAATCATTAACGGTGTATCATGGCATTGATACAATTTGTGAATTCCTGTTGAAACTAGCCAGCTACCCCACGTTATAGCAGGTTATCAGGGCGTTACAAAGGACATTGAAGGTAACTAGCTAATGTTATTAATCAGCTTAATAACATTAAGTTAATCACTGTGGAGTGTTATCAAAACGTCAACATTAATACTCAAATTAGCTGACGCCTCGTTAGGTATAACCAGCACCAATAAGAGAGACTGTTAACCCTAACCCTCTTTCTGTGTGGTTCTGGGTATAACATAGTCCCAAATTGTCATTTAAAATCGCACATGCGAACAAGGGATGGACGATGCCAAACTTAAAATTTGATATGATACTTATACTATTTGTTTCAATTTTAATAATACCGATACTGAGTAATTCCTAAATATATAATGTTTTTAAATGATGGTCATTTGTAGAACAAACATTACATAAAAATTACACATTTGATATAGTCCCCCACGTTTTGTATTTTTATAATTTTACTATCTGTGTCCCTAATGCGTACGTCTAAAACTGTGGGTCTGGAAATGCTGCGTCTAGAGCTGCTGTGGCTCTCGAGCATCTCAGGCTTAAAAGGAGTCTGTAGCCTGCTTGACACACCTTTGAAAGAGCCATCAGAAAACGTGATTCCCCTAAATGTCCTCTGCCTGGAGATACTGGGGAAATTAAAAGGCGTCTGTATGCAGATCAAACACTGGAACACACACACTGCAGCACATATGCCGTAATGTGAGAAACAGTTTGGTACAGAATCAATTTGTCAAAGAGAGAAAAAAAGAAAAACAACTGTCTTTAGCTGGGATCAAACACACAACTTTTGAGATGTCAGTCCTGCATTCTACCAACTGAGCTAACCAACGGCAACCCTTGCTGTATATTATTACTACTTCTTCTTCTTCGAAATCTGTATTCAACGTTGGGATGAGCTATGGATGAGCGTCTATACTGCCAGAATTCTACAAGAAGAAGAACATAGTGACGAAACACATTCTGTTACGCTGTTTGTCCGTTTTAATTACTCATACTCATACATAAAAACATGTTTCATTATTTAAGGTCTTTATACACCACTGAAAACATAGTTATGGATCTTATTTTGGATTTCTGTCAATAGATCCTCAGAATATTACACACTGAACTAGTATAAGTCTACAGAAGCTTTTAGCTTTAAGCTGTGGTTCCAAAGTGAATTCTGCTCCAACTCTTGGAAATTCCGAAACACTAAGAACATTTTTGTTTTGTTTTTTTGAAAACCCGTTCCCTTACACAGAACAGCAGCTTTCTTTCTGAACTTGTTTTTCTGCCTTTCTAACTAGTATCTTCAAGTACACAGAACCAGAAACACAGAAAACATATCTGGCTCATGCATTGAGTAAAATATAGATTTTAAATACCTTTTATATATATACACATTAAGTAAGAACATATACTAGCTTGTACATGTTTCACCAGCAGGCCAATTGCAAATGCACTCAACATGGACTGTAACAGTCGAGCTAGACTATGTACCAATATGTAAATAAGTCAGCATAACGTGCACGTGTGCTTTATGTACTACACTGTAAACCCAGAATATTTACATTTTTAAAACAAAACTAAAACATTGTCGTTGGTTTTTCAAAGTGTCGTGTGTTAGTTGGTGAGTAGTTGCTGCAAGTATCTTCCATTCTGTTCTGCACTATTTTAGTGGCTTGCACCAACTAATATCTTATTATCTTGTTATCTTTGTGTCACTCTGCTTTGTCATTGCTGAGTACAGAAAGGGAGTCACTGGGACTAAATGGTTTAAAGTCTCAACAGTGGAGACAGTAAGTGTGTTTTAACCACATATTCAAATATTGCATTCCGCCATAAGCCTATTAGACATTTTTTCATGAATGCTCTGTTTTTGTTTGCTGCAATCATTTTGACAAACATTACCCTTCTTTCAACTGTTGATGGAATTTTTAACATGCTGGGCCCCTACGGTAACCTGTCAGCAGGCAACATCCGCCTCATCAAAGACAAGCTAACAGGAAAGAATAGAGCCTTTGCCTTTGTTCACCTCTCGTCTCCTGTGGTGTGTTATTTCTGTGGTCTGTATGTAGACGTTATGTAAGTATGTGTGTTTCTTTTGGGGGTGTACACGTGTGACAATCTTGCATCTTTACTTCATCTATAGGAGTCTTCTCAGCTGCTCACCTTGCTCCATCTTCAGACACCTCTAAAACTGGATGGAAAAACAGTTGGTGTGGATTATGCTAGGAGTGCTGAGGTGAGTCATGCACACACACACACACACACACACACACACATACACACTGTTTGATTCAGTTTACTATGAATAGAATATAACATGTAAGCTCTTTTGGATATGCACTGTGTGAACTGCACCATGTGGGAAGTTTTGACTAAATAACCACATACTATACATATTTCTATTTATTTGTCTTGTCATGCACTAAAAATAAAATAAAATTCCATCCATCATCCATCCATCGTCAACCGCTTATCCTGCATTAGGGTCGTGGGATCAAATAAAATTAACATTCCTAAAATAATTTTGCTGGAGGATTCTGCACGCAAATTTATTTCATCCTGCATGTGCTGCAAAATGAAGGTTTAACTAATTGCCGTGTTCTTTCTAGAGACTCCAAGCAGTCTGATGGGATCAGAGCCATTGCCCTCTCTGTTGCCAGCGCAGAAATTGCTGCTGCTCAGTGGTCATCCAGCCAGGGTTTTACTTGCTGTTTTGTATTTCTAAGTAATTTAAATTTGTTGTACTTAAAATTCGCTGAACTAAGTGGTGTGACATTAAAGTAAGGCAAAGAGCATTTGTGGCCTAAACTGCTAAAAGGTGGTGTAAGTACAAATGTGTCAACAACTTTATACATTTGTTCAAAGTACGATGGAGACTAAAGCTAAATCAAATGACGCCCTGTAATGTAAAATGTTTGGCTAGAGGGACTTAATCATATGGAAATGGGGTGTTGATTCTCAGTGGGTATTAGAAACGTTGACATTACTAGGGGCGCTTTGACAGCTTTTTTAAAATGTTATATAATAATAATTTACAGCATTTACACATTTCTATGCAAAGTATTGTTTGCAAATGCATCTTGGCATGTTTTAATTGGGGTGCTTGTGTGTTTTTACTGACTTTGCTCTCATCCCTGTAATTCTTTGTAGTTGCAGCACGGTTCAGGTACCACCTCTGACTATGTTACACTTCTGGATGGCTATGCACAGCAAACACAGGTCAGTTCACAGTCTACTTTACTGGGACAATGACTTGAACAATGGAGATCAATGATTCCTTTTATGTAGGGACAGAATTATCAAGGATGGCAGCAGCAGCCTGAAGGATTGGCTCCTGTCAGTGGAGATATATCTCTTGGAGGTGCCCAACACTCAAGAGATATTTTGACAGATTTCTATACTAAGGCTGAGATTTCTAATTGTATCATTAATCAAATTGTCTTTAGCTGTCCCAGAAATGAAGACATTGATCCTTGCAGCCACAGGTGTTGTCATCATATCCCAGATGACTCAACTTTACCAGCCTGTGATTACCAGCCAGCCGGCCATACAGGCAGACAGTGTATTAACATGGCATCTATGTAGTGCAAACACAACTACTAATTTATAATTTAGCACTCTGGTGTTGTATGCTGGATGTTACAGCTAATTGTGAATTCCCCCCTGCCACTCTCAGTCTCATCTATTAGTGATAACACCAGTTGCTTCTTCTGTCTGTGCAACCTCAACTGCTAATCCAACAGGTGAGATTTGTTAGCTACAGAATGGCCCCCTGTATGTAAAAATAGATAAACCTTTATTTTATAAAGGATGTTTTGTTTATATGTGTCTCTCTTTGTATCTATAGCTGCCCCCCGCAGCTTCCCCTGACACCTCAACATACCAGTACGATGAGACTTCAGGTTACTATTACAATCCACAGAGGGCCTACACTACAATCCTAGCAGGCAGGTATGTATCCTGTTCTCTCGACAGAATATACTGCCAAACACTATGCATTTGCATGTCATTGATTTTAAATCAATTAAACTTCTTATACATTTTTCCTATGGTTGTCATCAGTAGTACTACTATAACTCTGAGACTGCTGAATAAGACACAAGCACAGAGCAAGTATGCAAAAAGCCCACCGGGGAAAAAGTTAAGATCAAGTCAGCTTGCCAAGTAAATAATACTTTTTCTTCCTGTATTCCTTTAAGTGATATCTGTCTAGAATGTTAGTACAATTGCAGATCGCAAAGGACATGGCACGTTGGGCAAAAAGTTTAAAAAAAACAAAGTTTTAAGAGTGTTTTCCAAGGCAGCAAATATCTCCTCATGGTCTGCTAGCTGTCCATTCTGTGTGCGTACAGAAAAATAATCTGGTGTCTGTACACACCCCTGGTTCTGCAAATGGGAAAAACATCGGACCGAGCCACACAATGCTATTCCAGCCATTATTTGTGTGTCAGATAACATTAAATGACTTGCTCACTGACATTCAGCTTACTTTCTTGTTTGCCGAGACATGCTGCTGTTGTGAAGTTAGCTATAGTAGCAGGAGAGTTGTGAGTGTCGCTGTCTGCTGGCTCATACTCTCTGTATATTGGCTTTCCCACAAGCTAATGATAGATTACTTGCTCGCTCTTTATCATGGTATTGGATTTCTCCAGAATTGCGTACCTCACCATTTAAGTGACACTGAATATGATATGTGTTTATTCATAATGAACACAAAATGAGAGACTGACAAATGTATGATCTATAGCCTGTGTGAATTAGTTGTTGGTGAGATTTGTTGCTTCCTTTTCAGCAAAAAGTTAAGTTGCCATCTTTCGTGACCGAACAATTCAAGATCACAGAGCAGGACGCTTCAGTTAAGGTTTGTTGTTGTTATTAATAAAAATAAATCCCATAGAAATTCACCATAATACTTTATCCTTTTTCATATTCCAGTGTGGTCTGGTTGCTGCTTACAATGCAACAACCAGTGACACAGAGGAGGGCAGCTCGGATAAAGCAGCGCATACAGAGAGAAAAATAACAGACTGGAAGAAGTCTGCTGTGTCAACGGCAGTTAACCACCAAAGAGGCTTTGCTGCGTTACCAGCAGCTCTCTGACCTCTACAAGGTGAGTATGGTGAAACAGCAGGCATTCAATCTGCAAGTAGGTATGCATATTCTAGGCCCTGCCATCTGTTCAGTGTATAATGCTTCAATACAAAATGTAAAGATGTTATTGATCTTATACTGTTTTGAGCATAAGTGTATGTATTTACTTTGTATGCGCATGATGTGGCATGAAGTTGCCTTTTAATTGTTTCAGAGAAACAAGGAGCTGGAGAGGAAACAAATCAAGATATTTGGCTGATGTAATTCATATATATATATGTGTGTATATATATATATATATATACAGTGCCTTGCGAAAGTATTTGGCCCCCTTGAACTTTTCGACCTTTTGCCACATTTCAGGCTTCAAACATAAAGATATAAAACTGTAATTTTTTGTGAAGAATCAACAACAAGTGGGACACAATTATGAAGTGGAACGAAATTTATTGGATATTTCAAACCTTTTTAACAAATAAAAAAAAGGGAAAAATTGGGCGTGCAAAATTATTTAGCCCCTTTATTTTCAGTGCAGCAAACTCTCTCCAGAAGTTCAGTGAGGATCTCTGAATGATCCAATGTTGACCTAAATGACTAATGATGATAAATAGAATCCACCTGTGTGAAATCAAGTCTCCGTATAAATGCACCTGCTCTGTGATTGTCTCAGAGGTCCGTTTAAAGCGCAGAGAGCATCATGAAGAACAAGGAACACACCAGGCAGGTCCGAGATACTGTTGTGGAGAAGTTTAAAGCCGGATTTGGATACAAAAAGATTTCCCAAGCTTTAAACATCCCAAGGAGCACTGTGCAAGCGATAATATTGAAATGGAAGGAGTATCAGACCACTGCAAATCTACGAAGACCCGGCCGTCCCTCTAAACTTTCAGCTCATACAAGGAGAAGACTGATCAGAGATGCAGCCAAGAGGCCCATGATCACTCTGGATGAACTGCAGAGATCTACAGCTGAGGTGGGAGACTCTGTCCATAGGACAACAATCAGTCGTATACTGCACAAATCTGGCCTTTATGGAAGAGTGGCAAGAAGAAAGCCATTTCTTAAAGATATCCATAAATAGTCTCGTTTAAAGTTTGCCACAAGCCACCTGGGAGACACACCAAACATGTGGAAGAAGGTGCTCTGGTCAGATGAAACCAAAATCGAACTTTTTGGCAACAATGCAAAACGTTATGTTTGGCGTAAAGGCAACACAGCTCATCACCCTGAACACACCATCCCCACTGTCAAACATGGTGGTGGCAGCATCATGGTTTGGGCCTGCTTTTCTTCAGCAGGGACAGGGAAGATGGTTAAAATTGATGGGAAGATGGATGGAGCCAAATACAGGATCATTCTGGAAGAAAACCTGATGGCGTCTGCAAAAGACCTGAGACTGGGACGGAGATTTGTCTTCCAACAAGACAATGATCCAAAACATAAAGCAAAATCTACACTGGAATGGTTCACAAATAAACATATCCAGGTGTTAGAATGGCCAAGTCAAAGTCCTGACCTGAATCCAATCGAGAATCTGTGGAAAGAACTGAAAACTGCTGTTCACAAACGCTCTCCATCCAACTTCACTGAGCTCGAGCTGTTTTGCAAGGAGGAATGGGCAAAAATTTCATGGGCAAAACTGATAGAGACGTACCCCAAGCGACTTACAGCTGTAATCGCAGCAAAAGGTGGCGCTACAAAGTATTAACTTAAGGGGGCTGAATAATTTTGCACGCCCAATTTTTCAGTTTTTTATTTGTTAAAAAAGTTTGAAATATCCAATAAATTTCGTTCCACTTCATGATTGTGTCCCACTTGTTGTTGGTTCTTCACAAAAAATTACAGTTTTATATATTTATGTTTGAAGCCTGCAATGTGGCAAAAGGTCGAAATGTTCAAGGGGGCCGAATACTTTAGCAAGGCACTGTACATATATTGCATTGAGGATACATTGAATAAAGTTTCATGGTCATTTTAACAGCTGAAATACAGAGACATAGCTGCAGAGGGAATTTTGTTGTAAAGTAGTAAGAAGTCTGTTGTTCCTGATCTTCCTGCCAACGCAGTCAGTGTCAGTGTTAACGGTTTAAACTCACTGCAAACCATCTGAGACATTTCAGAAATGGACCCTTGTGAATCTGATCAAAGCTGTTCATTTTCTTTTTTTTTTAATTTAAATTTCATCCTGTAATTGATCTTCATCAGAAACAATGGCCAGCCCACCAAAGGCAGCCTAACAAGTGATAATATCGGGAACACAATGCTACAGGGCTGGCAGGAAGACAGGACTGGGGCATCACCGCTCCCATCTCGGTGAGGAAGCCCAACAACAATCCTCCTGTCCTGTGTTCTCATCCTAACAGATGGAATATGCATGTCAATGTGTTCTTTTTCACTCCCAAAGTAATTAGAGGTGTTACCTGAGGGCTACCTGCATCCAATCTGTCTCCTCTAATGACTGTGTCCGCATCTCCCCACAGGCTTCATTAAGGACCAAGGGCACAGGCTTGGGTATTAAAGGAAGCTCTCATATGAACTCTCAGCATCTGAAACCTACAAGGATGCTATTCATAAGGCCACATTCTCACACTTCACTGAGATAGAGTGAACTGGAGAGAGGGAAAGTGATCATACTGACCCAAGAAGTATTAATTACTGTTTGTGGTCAAATGATCCTACTGTGAAAAGGATGCCCTGTAGGGGAGAGTGGGGTGAGTTGAGCCAGTTTTTACTTGAGGTGAGGACATGACAGTAATGTCTCCACTTAAAATATGTACATATTTTTTAGGATGAAGTGCATCCCTGGGAATGATCAATTTGATTCTAAAATAAACAGTTTTCAAAATGGCTTTCTAAAAAAAAAGAAAAAAAAAGTGGACTCTTGGCTCAACTTGCCCTATGAGGAGTAAGCCATGGGAGAGGATAAGTTGAGCCACATGGGGGTCGGGGACATCATTGTCATTTCATCATGCAAACTCATGTCAACGCCACGTCCCAACATTCAATTGGACTTAGTGAAACATTGCAGCTATGTCTCCTAGTTGTTTCATATAAATGTATTGCTTCAAAGTCATCCGGTTGATCGTCATGTCCTGTGCCATCTGATGTATGGACTTCGCATTTTTGTACATCTCCCACTACTCTGTCCAAATCCACAAGAGGAGTTGAAGCCTGTCTGTTTTCCATTTATAGAAGCATGACATGATGGTTTCTGGTCTAAGATGCATAATGTCACATAATTTCGGTGATGACTAAAAATGCAATGTAAAATTACAGTCAAGTATCTGGCTCAACTTGCCCCAGGTCTTTTGGCTCAAATTACTCCATCCCTGCCATTTTAACAAAATTGTGTCATCCTGCAGTTTAAGGGTAACGTCATGCTAACAATATAGCCTCATATTGTAACTTCCTAAAGCACTAACACGTGTAAAATTTCAACATTAAAAAAAAAAAAAATTTTACTTTGAATGGCAAAAAACTGTTTTTTGATCTTAAATGTGCTTATCACTTATTCCATGGGCCTCTCTTCATCACAGGGTGAGTAAAATAGATGACTCTTCAAAAATGTGTAGTCACATGACAAATTTTGTCTATGGCTGCCGAGAAACAAGGGGGGGCTCAACTTCCCCACAGGCTCAAATCATCCCGCTTTCCCCTACAGACTTAAACAGTAATTTCTATTTTCTCACATTTTGTTTTATATATGTAACTATATGTAGCCTCTGCCATAAGTGTATGAATGTGTGTAAATAGGTTTGTTGAATGTGGCATGTATTGTAAAGCACTCTGAGTGGTCAGAAGACTAGTGAGGCGCTATGTAATCCATTTACCATCCACAATAGTTTTCTTCCTTTTCTATGCACACACTTCAAATGAGGTTATTAAATCTGCTGTTGTTCATGTCCTTGGCTGATTTCTCTCTTCCCTGATCTCCGCCGCAGTCCTGATCTATACTGTCACGTAGACAGTCCTTAAATATACATGTACAAATCTCCATCTCAGCCCCCACTACATATGGTGTCCATTATTTCTGCCAGACCCTCTTTGGCTGCCTGCGTATCCTCTTTCCCAAGGCTCAATGGCTGGCATGTTGTACCAGCTCCTACTTCAGTGGGAATGCCAGTGTTTTTGAATATGCCCCTCAGAGTCTTTGCTATGTTTGTTCGGGTCATTTCATCTCGCCGTTTCCTGGACGAACTGATGGAAAGCCTGAGGGATAGAGTGGTGTGTGTATCAGCCACAAAGATACAGCATAGTGGCTCATGCCACCTTAATGGCTGAGTGTTCCTAATTCCTTAGCTTTGTAATGATGAATGTCAAGAGTGAGGTTGTAAAATTCAGCTTTCAGTGAAGGGTTTGAGAGACACTATAGAGCAAATATATACAATTCCCCCCCCACTGATATGTAGATGTCCCTGTTCTCATCACAAGGAGGCAGTGTCACTTTTAGGAGGAATTTTAGTCCACTCACTAATGAACACAATAAAATGACAAAAAAAAAAACACATTAGAAAAATCAATTAAAATTAAGCTCAAGCATGTAAAAATTCTCTTTGAATATATACGTTTCCAAAACCCTCCCTTTTTAAAAAAAAACAACCCCCCTCCCCCCCTCCCACATTAATGATGTTAAATGTATAATGCTGATCTTGCTGTGGTTGTAGGTTTTCCTTTTTTTTATTTTTTTTTTAAATCTGTGCTGCTGCCGCCGCCTACATCAGCCCGGCCTGTCCCACAGTGACATGATGTCCTCACTGCTGCTGGGCACAGCGGGGGTAGAGAGGCGGGGGGGATTAACATCACTGTTAGGTCATAATATAACAATTTGACAGAGAGAGGTTCATTTGCATCATTTCCATGTTTTTCCCTGAAGAATCCCCCTACACCTATCTCTGTTGAATACTGCGGCACAAAATGAACTGTGCTCACTGTCTCACAGGGACACTTGTGGATGCCTACTCAGTTTTCACATGGTACTGGCTCAGCTTACCAGAATCTGTGTCAGTTGACTAAGCCGTTTTGCATAACAATCAGTGGCCACACTGAAAAGAAAATTGAGCGGAAGAGGTTGGCATATGTGCACCTTGTCTCAAATCTATAGAGAACGTGTTATGAGTGATTTCAGGAAATGCACTATAGTCCTAGAAACAGCTTAGTTATTTAAGTGCATGCAGGTATCTGTCTGAATCTCACCTCTAGAACACTGCAGATTACAATAGCATCATTATAATGTAGTCTCATTGCTGAGAACAATGAGACTACAAATGTGCTTTTTCTTTGGATCTCTCCCAGTCGGGAGAAAGCATGAGATGTGGAAATAGGACGACATTTTTATTGCTCCATGACAAGCAGTGGCATTTACAAAATGCCCATTTTCAGATAGTCCTGAAAAATATGAATGAAACGCCATTACAATTCAAGTTCCCTTTATTAGTATCAAAACCTTATTCTTTCATTTCTACATTTAACGGACACAAAATAAGGCACATCTTGCATAAAGCTGAATAGACTGACTGCTTGATCAGATAACAGGCAACAATTTTGATCAATTTGTTTTCACTCTTTTTTGCAATAATGGTGACCATTCTCCATTTCCAGATTCTTAATGAGATTTTTTGGTGTTAAAGCCCCCCTCCAGCAAGTTTTAACTGCCGTTTTTGAGAACGGGGGTGTGGTTAATAGCCGGACATAATACATTACCATGACAACCACAAACTGACGGCTGGAGTGTTCACTAATGATATGCTGCGTCAACATCATTACACTGTAAAGTTTAGTACACTTTACAGTCAGGCAGGAGTTACCCATGACAGAAACTAATGTGCGAGTATCAGCTGTTATCATACAGTCGATGGTCCCGTCACGCACTGCACACGATAACTCCCACTACGTTTTATGGTGCGTTTACTTTACCGCGGGGGGCCTCCACCCATGCATTGCATTGGTAAAACGGCCGTCAGTAAAATGCATGTTGCAGACTGTAACAGACGGTGGCAGGTGAAAGTGCGACGCGTTTTCTCTGTCATCCAACACCGCACGCACAGATGCCATAATGAAAACAGCACACTAAACCAAGAGGATGAAACTAAATAAAAGAGCCTCCGTTAGCTAACTTTCTGCAATAACTATGCTAGCTAACTACACCTGGCTAACAACTTAGCTAACTAAACTAGAAAGACAAACCAATAGACAGAACTTACAGTAGGTATGTCTCTAAGTAAATTACTTGATAACTTGGTTAGCTAGCTCACAACGATGTTTATTGGTCTGATGCTCTGACTTAACGAGGCGTCAAAGTGCGCCTGCGCAAGCTTGGAGAATGATGTATGACTTGTGTGGAATTACTTTAGTCATACGTTACAACCCCTTTTAACTACTAAGCAATTTTTGCAACTTTGAGCACAAAATTAAGTTATTTGGCAAAAAATATTTGGCAAACTATGTGGGTAATCAGCATTGTAAGGAAATGACTCATAGAAATATGAAATCTCATAGAAATGAGAAACTACACTGGAGGGGGGCTTTAAGTGATAAATGAGGAAAGGGAGACAGCCATGCGTTGAGTGTTACTGTAGTTTACTGAAAACCATTAATGATTGTGTGAAATTTTAATAGTGGTGCTCGCTAGACTGGTTTTAAGCCCCAAGATTTGTTTTTCCCCATCTAAGAACTGATAAGGTTGCACTTCCCCATTGCAGAAGAATAAATCAGTTTTATATCTGTGGTACAATCCGAAAAGCTGCCTGTTTCTTTGTAGTCGTAACACAGCGAATTATATTTGGACTAGCGACAAAAACTCCTCCAACCTTGATGGTGGGCAGGCTACTAACTCAATAATCATAACCGTTAAATCATAACCGTTTATGCAGAACAATGAGTTCAACATTTATAATGTTTGTTGCAGCACGCTCTATCCAGGCTGTGATTGTTCTGTTCACAAAAAGTGACACTGAGGAGAGCGTCGGCTTTATGAAAAGTTGAATGTGTTATAATAAAACGCACCGATTTAGCTAAACAGCCAGCTAACGTTAGCCAAACCCACACGCTCCTTGGAAGTTCCCTGTTGTCTTCCGTCTTACCAATTCAGCTGCTGGCGGCGCATCTCACTCTGTTTTTCAGGAACGGGGCTGTTCAGGTGGCAGAGTCACAGAGTGACCGGCCAACCGGGTTAATCCCGTTACTCCTGAGCGCCACTCCGACTATGTTTTGGACGATCATTGCGGGTTCGGCAGGTTGGGAGATTACGGTCAGTTGTACTCGTAAATCTTTTTCCGGTTCACATGGATCTAGTATTTGGAGCTTTTAAGAGTGAAACAGGCGCACGGAAGATCCCTGCACCTAACGTTACAGAAAAGAATCACATCGCCACTTACTGCCTGTCGAGTATTTTTGGCTATGCATTATAAATACTGTAGTATGTTCATCTACACTTTTAGCAAACAAACTTTTGGACAAACAGGATTTTCATATTGAAAAAACCCTTCAAAATGTAATACCTCGTTAAATGGCGATTAAGATTTTAATGGCCTTAATTTTCGCAAAATTGATTTGTCACCATTTAAGACTTTAAGACCCCCCGGACACCCTGGCTAAGGTCTGCTGACTTTGCTTGGTGTGTATGAGGCAGATGCTGCAGCATTATATTAAACTAACTTACACCAAAACTTACGCAGAGACAAAAGAACCAGTAAGGTTGCAGCTTATCAGTACCAACATTACAATCTTTAGTAATTTAGCCCTGGGGCTCATTTAATACCCGTCCCTAAAAGAAACATAACAGTTTGTCAAGACGACCACCTATAGCAATGTTTATTTAACTTAACATTACTGAGACAAGTCTGTCAATTCTACATTTACTCATTTGGTAGACGCTTATATCCAAAGGAACTTACATTTCAGTAACATACAGGCATTAACAAAGCAAGATTAATTTAACAAGCTAACAAGACTGCCAAACACATTTGAAAGGGCTGTGAAAGTAAATCAGTATGGTAACACTACTTACTACTAAACAGGCAGTTACTTATTCATGCGACACTAGTTTGCTAACTTATGTCCTTGTATGAATGCCCGCGAATTGTTCAGCAGGGATATCTACAGTAACATCAAGCTAAAGTTAACTTGTTTAACGTTAGCCAACTCCTCACACGTGGGCATTTTATGGAAGATTCCAAATATTACAACAAAATTACTCTCCCACGATGACAATGTTAACGTTACCTCTTGCCAACACGGTGTAATTTGACATTAACTAGTAAGTTACTTAACGTTAGCTTCTCAATTTCATGCCACATTTAAGATAACGTTGGCCCTTCGGAATTCTGTTTAAATGTAAAACCAGACAGCTGGAGTTTATGGTGAACATCAATATCAAGTTATTCTACAACACTGCTTCTGTTAAAATACAAAACAAAGGTTTAATAAGTAGGCGAGACTTAACACAGTTCGACACGCAGCGTCGATGCTTACTTTCATAAAGCGCGTGTTGCCGTATATATATGAGAAATTCCACGTGACCGATGACGTCAGAGCTTCGTACGTCACGAAATTTTGGCTCCAAAGATGCTGAAATATGAAGGGGGGCGTGGCGTGAGCGAGGGCGCGACTGGAGGACCTTGACGTCACCATTGGATCTTCATAGGCTGAATTCAGCTGACAAAAGGTAGCAAAACATTTATTTATTTAACGGAAACGGTGGTGCCTTGAACACACAGCTGTGCATGCAAGCGCGCTGATTTTTACTGCATTTTTAACCACAGCTGTGTTTACAAATGTGTTGCAGCTGATTGGGTAATACCTCTGACACGCCGACCAAACGGGAAGCCCGTTGTCCAACGTTGCACAATGTTGATTGAAAAACTTATAATTAATAACTAATTTACAAAGTTTGAGAGAACCCAGCTT